GCTTTTGGTTTTATTGATTTTCTTTATTGATTTCTTGTCTTCAATTTTATTGATTTCTTCTCTAATTTTAATTATTTCTTTACTTCTGCTTACTTTGGATTAAATGTGCTGTTCTTTTTCTACTTTCCTAAGATGAAACTTGGATGATTGACTTTAGACTTTCTCTCTCTTTTTTTTTTTTTTTTTTTTTTTTGTGAGGGAGCCTCGCTCCATCGCCCAGGCTGGAGTGCAGTGGTGCAATCTCTGCTCACTGCAACCTCCGCCTCCCAGGTTCAAGCGGTTCTCCTGTCTCAGCCTCCCGAGTAGCTGGGACTATAGGCACGCACCACCATGCCCAGCTAATTTTTGTATTTTTAGTAGAGACGGAGTTTCACCATGTTGGTCAGGCTGGTCTCGAACTCCTGACCTCTGGCAATCCACCTGCCTTGGCCTCCCAAAGTGCTGGGATCACAGGCGTGAGCCACCATGCCCAGTCTAGATCTTCTTCTCTAATATGTGCATTTGATGCTATAAATATTCTTCTAAGCACCTTTTACTGCATTCCACAAGTTTTGATAAGTTATGTTTTCATTTTTATTTTGTTCAAAATATTTATAAAGTTTTCTGGAGATTTCTTCTTTGATCCATGTGTTATTTAGAAGTGTGTTGTTTAACCTCCAAGTATTTGGAGATTTTCCAGCTACATTTCTGTTACAGATTTTTAGTCTAATTTCATTGTGGCCTGAGATCAGACGTTGTATGGTTTCTAGTCTTTTCTATTTAAAGGGTTCTGATGCATACTATTTTTCTTCAGATTGTATTTTTGCCCTCTAGTATGTCTTATAATTTTTCCTCGATAGCTGGACAGGAAGTACTATGTGAAAGGAACTGGTAAACAGGCCTGTATGAATGTGGTGGTGAAGCGCTGGGGGACAAGAATCATTTTGTACTCCTGTGACTGGGTCTCAATCTTTTGGTGAGCCGCTTCCTCTGGACTGGGAACTTCCCACATGCTTCTCAGAATTTTCCCCCTGTAGGTGGGACAGGATGGCCAGAAGGTGCTGCAGTTTGATATTTCACATCCCCCAGGTCATTATGAGTCTGATAAAACGCTTTCAGGTTAGGCTGTAATTAAGTTTCTCCAGAGGGCAGACCTTGTTAAGAAAAACTGGATGCTCCCGGCTGGGCGCGGTAGCTCAGGCTTGTAATCCCAGCACTTTGGGAGGCTGAGGCAGGCAGATCATTTGAGGTCAGGAGTTGGAGACCAGCCTGACCAACATGGTGAAACCCTGTCTCTACTACAAATACAAAAAAATTAGCTGGGCATGGTGGTACATGCCTGTAGTCCCAGCTCCTCGGGAGGCTGAGGCGGGAGAATCGCTTGAATCCGGGAGGCAGAGGTTGCAGTGAGCAGAGATCGTGCCACTGCACTCCAGCCTGGGCAACAGAGTGAGACTCCGTCTCAAAGAAAAAAAAAAAGAAGTAGGGGAGAAAAACAGGATGCTCCTATATGTTTCCAAATGGTTGCCTTCCCCCTTCCCCAGCCAGAAGCACAGGATATTTTTTCCAGTGTTCACTGCAATAACCTGGTAGACCTCTAGGAGGTAAACCTCACAAAAATGCGGGTGCCCCCACCGACAGAGTTCCCCTGGCGTTTTTAACTCAGATTTGTACACACTGAGTCTCCAGCAGGTTGTCGATTACAGCTCAGGTTTCCCTACCCTGCTGCTGGTTCCTGCAGAGCCTTCAGCTTGTTGTAGGTTTCTGCTCTGGTAATTTGTGAGTCTCTGTATTTGCCTGTTGGTCTCTCTGATTTTGGGGGCAGCAGTTTGCCCTGTGACCTCACGTCTCTTATGCAGCTAAGAATAGTTGTTGCTTTTTCAGTTTGTTCAGCGTTTTGCTTGTTGTTAGGATGAGGTGGCGACTTCTAAGCATCTTACATGCTGGACCGGAAAAACTGGAAGTCTCCTGCTTATTGCTTATAAATTTCAATTTTTTGCTATGAGCGTGTGTTATTTCTATAACCAGAAACACCTATTTTTTAAAGAAAAAATAACAAAACTTTAAATTTTTTTATTTTTAATTTTTTGGGTACATTGTAGGTGTATGTATGGATGGAGTACATGAGCTATTTTGGTACAGGTATGCAATGTGTAATTATCCCATCAGGGTAAATGGAGCACCATCACCTCAAGGATTCATCATTTCTTTGTGTTATGAACATTCCAGTTATACTCCCTTATTCTAAAATGTACAGAAAATGATTGCTGAGTATAGTCACCTGTTGTGCTATCAAATACTAGATCTTATTTATTGTATTTAACTATATTTTTGTACCCATCAGCCATCCTCATTCTTCACCCTACCTGCCCCACCCCCACTATCCTTCCCAGCCTCTGGTAACCATCCTTCTGCTATCTCCGTGTGTTCAATTGTTTTAATTTTTAGCTTCCACAGATGAGTGAAAACATGGAAAATTTGTCTTTCTGTGCCTGTCTTATTTCATGTAACATCATGTCCTCCAGTTCCCATCCGTATTGTTGCAGATGACAGGATCTCATTCTTTTTTTGTGGCTGAACAGTACTCCATGTTGTATATGTGCCACATTTTCTTTATCCATTGTCTGTTGATGGACACTTAGGTTAATTCCAAATCCTGCCTATTGTGAATAGTGCTGCAATACACATGGGAGTACAGATACCTCTTCAAGATACTGATTTCCTTTCTTTTGGGTACAAACCCAGCAGTGGAATTTCTGGGTCATATGGTATTTCTATTTTGTTTTTTGAGGAACCTCCATACTGTTCTCTATAATGGCTGTACTAATTTACATTCCCACCAACAGTGTTTCTCTACATCCTCACCAGCATTTATTATTGCCTGTCTTGAATAAAAGCCGTTTTAACTAGGGTGAGATGATAGCTAGTTATAGTTTTAATTTGCATGCCTCTGATGATCAATGATATTGAACACATTTTCATATGCCTGTTTGCCATTTATATGTCTTCTTTTGAGAGATTATCTATTCAGATATTTTGCCCATTTTTAAATTGGATTATTAGATTTTTTTTCCTATAGAGTTGTTTGAGCTCCTTATATATTCTGGTTACTAATCTCTTATCAGATGGATAGTTTGCCAGTATTTTCTCCCATTCTGTGGGTTGTCTCTTCACTTTGTTGTTTCCTTTGCTGTTCAGAAGCTTTTTAACTTGATATGATCCCTTGTGTCCATTTTTGCTTTGGTTGCCTGTGCTTGTGGGGAATTACTTAAGAAATCTTTGCCCAGACTAATGTCCTGGAGAGTTTCTCCAATGTGTAGTAGTTTCATAGTTTGAGGTCTTAGATTTAAGTCTCTAATCCATTTTGATTTGATTTTTGTATATGGCGAAAGATAGAGGCCTAATTTCATTCTTCTGCATGTGGATATCCAGTTTTCCCAGCACCTTTTATTGAAGAAACTATCTTTTTCCAGTGTATATTCTTGGCACCTTTGTTGAAAATGAGTTCAGAGTAGATGTATGGATTTATTTCTGGGTTCTTTATTCTGTTATATTGGTCTGTGTGTCTGTTTTTAGGCCAGTACCAGGCTGTTTTGGTTACTATAGCTCTGTAGTATAATCTGAGGTAATGTGATTCCTCCAGTTTTGTTCTTTTTGCTCAGGATGCCTTTGACTATTCTGTGGTCTTTTGTGGTTTTATATAAATTTTTAGATTATTTTTTCTATTTCTGTGAAGAATGTCATGGGTATTTTGATAGAGATTATATTGAATGTGTAGATGGCTTTAGAGAGTATGGACATTTTAACACTATTGATTATTCCAATCCATGAACATGGAATATCATTTCATTTTTTTGTATCCTCTTCAATTTCTTGTGTCAATGTTTTATAGTTTTCATTGTAGAGATCTTTCACTTCTTGTTAAGTTTATTCCTAGGTATTTTATTTTATTTGTAGCTGTTGCAATTGGGATTGCTTTCTTGATTTCTTTTTCAGATTGTTCATTGTTGGCATGTAGATATGCTACTGATTTTTGTATGCTGATTTTGTATCCTGCAACTTTATTAAATTTATCAGTTCTAATAGTTTTTTGGTGGAGTCTTTAGGCTTTTCCAAATATAAGATCAGGCCAGGCGCAGTAGCTCACGCCTGTAATCCCAGCACTTTGGGAGGCCAGGGTGGGCAGATCACTTGATGTCAGGAGTTCAAGACCACCAGCCTGGCCAACATGGTGAAAACATATCTGTACTAAAAATAGAAAAACTAGCCAGACGTGGTGGCACACACTTGTAGTCCCAGCTACTCAAGAGGCTGAGGCAGGAGAATTGCTTGAACCTGGGAGGCAGACGTTGCAGTGAGCTGAGATCAAGCCACTGCACTCCAGCCTGGGCAACAGAGTAAGACTCTCAAAAAAACAAAAACAAGCAAAAAAGACAAATAGATCATATCATCCTCAAGCAGGATAATTTACTTATTCCTTTCCAATTTGAATGCCTTTTGTTTCTTTCACTTGTCTGATTGTTCTAGCTGGGACTTCCCAGAAATGCCTATTAAAATACTATTAGAAGTGGCTCATGCCTGTAATCCCAGCACTTTGGGAGGCTGAGGCGGGTGGATCACCTGAAGTCTGGAGTTTGAGTCCAGCCTGGCCAACATGGTGAAACCCCGTCTCTACTGAAAATACAAAAACTAGCTGGGTGTGGTGGTGGGCACCTGTAATCCCAGCTACTCGGGAGGCTGAGGCAGGAGAATTGCTTGAACTTAGGAGACGGAGTTTGCAGTGAGCCAACATGGTGCCGCTGTACTCCAACCTCTGCGACAGAGTGAGACTCCGTCTAAAAAAATAAATAAATAAAATAAAATAAAATTATATTAGAAGACATAGACATAGACTGCTGTCCAAGTAATTTTCTCCCCAAACCCAGAGTAATAAGGACCTCCGTCTGCCTTCTGGGCTTCTTCATTCAGCCATGGCACCTTGGCTGAGAGAACGGCCCGCCCTCTTTACTCTTCTCCTCCAGATGAAGCCAAGGAGGAGTTCCTGGATCTGCTTGACGTGTTGCTCCCCCATGCCCAGACATACGTCCCCCGCCTGGTAAGGATGGAAGCGTTCCACCTCAGCCTGTCCCAGAGTGTGGTTCTGCGCCACCACTGGATCCTCCCCTTTGTGCAGGCTCTGAAAGCCCGCATGGCCTCCTTCCAGAGGTGAGTGCTTCCCTCTGCCGCTCCGCTCCCTCCCCTCCACGGCTTCTCCTCCTCTCCTGAGCTACTGCGGGCATTACCCCAGCAGGCAGGCCAGACCTAAAGATAGAACACGGCCCCTCTCCTGGGGCTGCCTGCTCTACTTCTTGTCCTGCATGACCTTGGGCATGCCGTGGAAGCTCTTGACACCCCTGATGCCTTATCTGCTCTGTAGGAAAAGCCAGATGTTTTTCTGTAAGCCCTCGCTCAGTATTTCCAGCACTTCTGTGACCAGATGTGTGGAGTTTTTTTCCGCACCAACAAATTATCCAACTCTACAGACACCCACTGCCCTATAATCGAACTCAATTCTGACACTAATAACCCAGGGTTAGTGCAGACTTCATAGGCTAAGGGCTCAGTCCCACAAGACTGCGCTCCATGTCAGACACCATCTGCAGTGTTGAGCTCTCAGGTTACCCACAACATCTGTCTGATTTCACTACAAATCAGAGATTCTATGGACCCCCTCCTCAGGTTTGATCATTTGCTAGAATGGCTCACAGAATTCAGACAAACAGTCCACTTACTAGGTTGCCAGTTTATTACAAAGGATGTATTAAAGGATACACATGAACAGCCACATGAAGAGAGAGGTAGGGTGAGGTCTGGAAGGGTCCCGAGCATGGGAGCTTCTGACCCTGTGGAGTTGGGGGTGAGCCACCCTTCCAGCACATGGGTGCCTTCTTATTCACCAAGGGAAGCTCCTCAAACCCTGTAGTTCCAAATTTTTACAGAGGCTTCATCATGTCGGCATGATGGATTATTAACTCCGTCTCTAGCTTCCCTCCCATCCCAGGAGGATAGGGGGTGGGGCTGAAAGTTTCCAGCTTCTCATCATGCCTTGCTCTTTCTGTGATCGGCCCCCATCCAGGAGGCCACTGAGAGTTGCCTCATCAGAACCAAAGATGCTCCTGTCACCCAGGAAATTCCAAAAGATTTAGGAGTTCTATGTCAGGAGCCAGGGTCACAGACCAGATAACAGAACAAAAGATGCTCCTAGCACCCCCACTGCTTAGGAAATGACATAGGTTTTAGGATCTCTGTGTCAGGAACTGGAGGCTGAGACCAACACATACGTTATCATTTCACAATAATAGGTCAAACAGGTCATGGTAGTGGTGGGGGCTACCTCACTGGGGGCTTGTGGGGGTGAAAGGAGATCATGGGTGCCCTCAGCACACCACTTGGGTGAAGGCTTAGTACCAGACCCCACTTCTGATTTTGTCTGCTAACCTGGGGCCTTTTTTCCCCCTTACCTATTGCATTATGTTATAACTCTTTTCCTACCAGCAATGCATCTCCTGCTAGACTGGTCCAGATCAAAATCCTGCTCTTTCACTGAGGCTCTGCCGCTTGGCATCTCCTGCAGAATCCCTCCATCCAGAGATCGGTCGGTCCTGTGGTTGTTTACCCCTGGTGGTCATTTCACTCACCCTCATATGCAGTCATTCCTGTGTCCATCTTCCCTCCTGGAAGCCACGTTCCTCCAGGCAAGGACTGTGGCCTCTCTCTCAATTACCCCACAGCTTTTCCCTAGTGCTCTGCTCACAGAGCATCAAATAGATGCTTGTGGAGTCATGAGGCGGGAATGAGGGAACCCAGAGAATATCTTTCTGGATCGTCTACTGTTGGTACTAGAAGGAGCCTAAGAAGCCGCCCAGCTGGTGGTTTTCTGACCCTGCCTTTATCAGCAGAGCCTTTTTTCAAATGAGGTGTTGCACAAAAGCCTGGTGTGTGGCTATGTAAAACAGAAATAAACAGTCTTCTAGCCAAAGCCCTACTCCCACAGTTCAGGGGGCCATAGGCCCAGGAATTCCATAGGATGTCACTGCCCAGCTGGGAAACTGCTCAGTTAGTTGAAGCCCTTCTGGGGGCCAGAGGAGGACAGGATTTGTCCCAATCCGGTCACTTGGCTGGGGAATCAGGACTCAAACTCATCTCTCAACCTAGTCCAGCCCTCCCCCTCTTTGGATTGTCATTATCAAATTGATTGAGCCGTATGTAAATTATCAGGACTGTCTTAACCACAGGTACCAGAAACCCAACCCAAAGTGGCTTAAACCAAAGAGAAATTTATAGGCTGGTATAACTAAAAGATTCAGAGGTAGCACTGGCTCATGCATGAATGGACCGGGGTAACAAGATATCAGATGGCACCTGACTGTCACCATCTCAGCTCTGTCCCCTTCCTTTGTCACAATGATGAAGCCACCGCATCTCCGGGCTGATGGTGTACCAGCCTGGAAAGACAGCCTCCCTCTCTGATTGGCTTCAGCACAAGTCACAGAAATGACTGCCTGGTCTGACCCGGCTCCTGTGTGCTTTCTTTGGGAGTAAAGAGTTAACAGGCCCTTCCCCCTTCCACACAGAGTGCTTCCCTTATCCTGCAGAAGCAGCTTCCCTGGATGAAGGAGGAGAGTTAGTGCTGATGACTGGCACACTGCACCTGCGCTGGGAAGACACGTGAACTGCGCCCCTGCAGGGACGCCACAGCCTAGGCTCCGCTGCATACAGTGGTTCCTTAACTGGGCACGAGTCCCTTGCTGGGACTTCTGAAAATTCTGCCTAAAGTCCATTGCAAGAAATTCTGATCCCTGTGGGATGTATATGTGGCTGGTTCCCTTGCTCACTGGGAGACTAGAAAACAGCACCTGGACCGGACCCCTGGGCTGGTTCCCTCTGAGGAAAGGATCTGTCACTGCTCTGTGTCACGAGTGAAGCCTGGCCAGGTGTGGTCTCTTCAACTTTGATCATCTGGTTGAGCCTAAGGTGACCAAGAGTGGGCGGTGCACCCCTGATTCTGTTAGCTGTGACTGAGGAGATGCTAAGCTCTGCTTGGCCAGGCCTGGGCAGCCTGCCTCTGGAGTAGGGATGGAGAGCCATCTTGCAACAGGAGGTTACCAGGAGAAGGGGTGTTGGTTGGGCACAGACATCCAGTGTCCACTCCAGGATGTTTGGGAGACACCTTGAGAACTCTTCCTAAAAGCTGCGCTTAATTGAGCTCCTGGTGGTTCTGTGATCCCTTACATTTTCCCCAGAGGCAGAGAGTTGGCTGACTGACTTTTGCCCTTGGGCAGATTGTGAGACTCTCCCTAGCACGCTGGTATATTATGTTCCCTCAGATGGGGGTGAGCCCCTTGGCCTGGGGGCTGTAAAATGATCTGTTTCTGTGACGGGACTTTCTATGGTGAGATTGCTAGTGTCTCAGAGAACAAAGGACAGAACCAGTCCAAGTCAAAGCACTCACCTGGCTGAGCCTGACTCTTTCTGTGTTATTGATCTGAGGGGTGGGTGGGTGGGGGCATCTGTCTCGATTTCACACCAACAGAGACCTACTTCCCCTCACTAAAGGGTCATAGGTGACAGCAAGGACTCTGGAAACAGGCAGACTAACTGTGCAAATCCTGGCTCACCAAATTCAGCTTCACCATGCCTCCGTTTCTTTGTCTGTAAAATGGGCATAATTGTAGGCCTGCTCACAGAGTTGTGTGAGGATTCAAGAAACGGATGTGTGCAAAGGCTTGAGCTCAGCCCTGACACACGAAGAAATGTTCTCGTGATTGCTTAGATGAAATCGGAGTTGTCTATTTTTTAAAAAAACTGCAAGAAATGAATCAGCTGTTAAGTGGTCCATTGTCACCTACTTGATAAATAAGGCTTTCTCAGTTCCCATCAGTAAAGTTGAGATAGTCTCAAATTATTTATCGAAATGAACTGCTATTAACAAAGTAAAATTTTTACTAGCACCTGGATGATGTTGTATGTTACTCGGGCTGGGTGATTTCAAGGTCTTGTCCAGCTCTAATGTTTTAGGATTCAGTATACTATCTGCATAATGGGGTAATAATATTAAGTGCAAAATGAGTTAACTATATTTTCAAAGTGCTGTTTGTTTTTTTTTTTAACATAAGCTATTTTTTCTGCTTTTTCTCTTATGATTTTTCCTAAAATATGGTCTTCTACATTTCAGATTCTTCTTTACTGCCAACCAGGTAAAGATTTACACCAATCAAGAGAAAACCAGGTGCGTCTTCCCAACCCCCAGTCACTATTAGAGGAAGATTCTTTGGTGCAAAAATTGAGTGCTTTGTTTCTGGACTTATTTGTCCCGTTTTTTGTTTGCTTTTAACCAACTCAGTGACTACAAAGGCAGCTATCCCCAAATCTGAACCTTTCATTAAGAAAAATAACTGGGAGATCCCAGGTGCAGTAGCACATGCCTGTAATTCCAGCACTTTGGGAGGCTGAAGCAGGTGCATAGCTTGAGCTCAGGAGTTCCAGACCAGCCTGGGCAACATGGCCAAACCCTGTCTCTATGAAAAATACAAAAATTAGCTGAGTGTGGTGGTGTGTGCCTGTAGTTTCAGCTACTTGGGAGGCTGAGATGGGAGGATCGCTTGAGCCCTGGAGGTCAAGGCCGCAGTGAGCCACGATTGCACCACTGCACTCCAGCCTGAGCAACAGAGTGAGACCCTGTCTCAAAAAAATAAATAAAAAGGCCAGGTGCGGTGGCTCATGCTTGTAATCCCAGCACTTTGAGAGGCCAAGGTGGGCAGATTACCTGAGGTCAGGAGTTCAAGACCAGCCTGCCCGACATGGCAAAACCCCATCTCTACTAAAAATACAAAAAATTAGCTGGGTGTGGTGGCAGGCACCTGCAATCCCAGCTACTGGGGAGGCTGAGGCAGGAGAATCGCTTGAACCCTAGAGGAGGAGGTTGCAGTGAGCCAAGATCATGCCACTGCACTCTATCCTGGGCGACAAGTGCGAAACTCTGTCTCAAAAATAAATAAATAAATAAATAAATAAATAAATAAATAATGACTGGGGGAGCATGTGGGGGGTGTTGCACAGAGATTGAGAGAAGCATCTTGGTTTAGTGAAAACCTGTGAAAGTCAGAAAACCTGTTTCTGCCCAGCTCCATCCCAGTTGTGGTGTTTGGTCCATGTCTTCATCTCTGTGACCTTTCGTTTTCACACTGGCACACACCTCCCAACATCCATTGTTGGGCAGTTGTAAGGCTCAAGTGAGCCCCAAGGCCTTTGAAAAGTTAAAAGTATTGAAGTGTTAGATGAACATAAGAAGAAATGATTATCCTGCCTTCAAAGCGAGCCTCCCTGTCTGACACACTCACTGGGCCACCTTTTCTGAGCACTTCTGAAAGGGGCCTCATTTATTCATTCACTTATTCCATGCTGCACAAGTTTGTTAAGCACCCACTTGTGCCAGGCATTTGCTGTATGCTAAGGATTCATCAGTGAAGAGGTAGACACAGCCCCTGCTCTTTTCAATCTCATATTCGGAGGGGAGACAGATAATAAGTAATGAGAGTGTTTGTTAATAACTGTGGTGTGATATGATGGTTAGGAGTGGGTAGTCCAGGAGGGTACCAGGGAAGTGGCCAGGGAGATGGCATTTGATGGTGACCTGAGAATGAGAAGCCAGTCTTGGGAAGAGCTGTTGCAAGAGCTTCAAGCAGAGGACATAGCAAACTAAGTGACTCCGAGGCAGGGAAGATTTCAGCGTGTTTGAGGGGGCCAGTGAGGCCAACCCCAGAGAGCACATGGGAGAATGATAGGAGATGAGATGGGCAGGGTTAGCCCATCCAGGGGCTGCAATGTCAAGTACGGAGTTTGAATTTTCAGTATAATGGGAGCCATTGGAGGGATGTGAACAGAGGAGAGGCATGATCTGATGTGTATCTGGGGATGTCGGTCTGGCTAGATGGTGTGTCTGTGGCCATGGAGTCTGGGGGCAAGATAGAAGGGAGCAAGAGTGAATGCAGGGAAACCAGAGAGGAGCCAAGTGTCATTGTCCAGGTGAGGGACCATTGGTGGCCTAGATTAGGGTGATGGCCGTGGAAGACCAAGAGGTGGACACACTGGAGATACACTGAGGCAGAAGCAACCAAATTACCAATGGGTTGGATTTATGTGACGCAAGGGGAAGATGAACATTGATTCCTGGGTTTGAGGCTGGAACAACTGGCCCCGTTTTCTGTGATAGGAGACACTGGTGGGATGAAAATCAAAAGTTCTGCTTTGTACCTGTTTGTTTGTACCTGTTAGGTTTTGCTGCCTATTGAACCCCTAGGTGGAAATGTCACATACACAACTGGGTGTTCAGGAGAGGGACCAGCTGGAGATAGAAATGTTGGCCAGTGTGGGAAGCGGGGCTGGGTGAGAACAGCCTCCTGGAGATTGCAAATGGAGGAGATCCAGTGATCTTCACCATGGAGAGGCTGGAGAGGAGAGAGGATGGCAGAGGACACTGAACCGGGAGACAGGAGGCAGGATTAAACCAGGACTGCATGGCAGGTGGTGTCTTGGGAGCCAAGAGAGAAAAGGGTTTCAAGGAGGGAAGAGTCCACTGTGTGAGATACTGATGAGCAGGTACGAGGCAGACAGCAAAGTGTCCCTTGGATTTGGTGACATGGAGGTTGTTGGCAACTTTGACAAGAGCACTTCCAGCAAAGTGGGTTGAAGATGGGAGGTGAGAAAGAGATAGTGATGGTAGACAAATTGTCTTTTTGAGAAGTTTTACTGAGAATGGGATGGGGACTGGCTGAAGCCGTGGGTTCACGGTAGAGTTTTGTTTGTTTGTTTGTTTGTTTGTTTGTTTTGAGACGGAGTCTCGCTCCGTCGCCCAGGCTGGAGTGCAGTGGCGCGATCTGGGCTCACTGCAAGCTCCACCTCCTGGGTTCACGCCATTCTCCTGCCTCAGCCTCCCGAGTAGCTGGGACTACAGGCGCCCGCCACCTCGCCCGGCTAGTTTTTTGTATTATTTTTAGTAGAGACGGGGTTTCACTGTGTTAGCCAGGAAGGTCTCGATCTCCTGACCTCGTGATCCGCCCATCTCGGCCTCCCAAAGTGCTGGGATTACAGGCTTGAGCCACAGCGCCCGGCCTGGGGGAGAGTTTTTAAAGACGAGAGAAAGCATGTGTGAGTGCTTGTGGGAGGTGTGGCAGATGCCAGGAAGCAAAGTCCTTGAGAAGAGGCCTCCTTGAGGACAAGAGTCGTTTGCAATTGGAACGGTGATGGAGAATGGAGAATGGAGATGCAGAAGCTTCTGGGTTTGTGTCTTGGCAGTGGTGGGTGAGGGCATTCCTGGAAGGGTTACTAGATCCAGGAGAGGGAGGAGAGCTGTGTGGGTGAGAACTGGGAAAGGAAGGTTTACAGACAGAGAATGTGGGGACTGAGAGAGTTGGCTCATGGAGCAGGAAAGCGAGTGTACCAGGGAGACAGGGTGAGACCCACGGCCCAGGTCTGTTGGCTTTCTGCCTGGCTCCTCCTCGGCTGCGCAGATGGCTGGTGTTCTCAGAGGCTGCATCTCATGCCTGTGTTGTCTTCCTCTCCCCAGGACCTTTATTGGGCTCGAGGTCACTTCAGGGCACGCCCAGTTCCTGGACCTAGTTTCAGAGGTGGACAGAGTCATGGAGGAATTCGACCTCACCACTTTCTACCAGGTAATGAATGGGGCTGCTGCTGCTCCACTGACCCATTTCTAATGAGAATAAAACTGTCTTTAAAGAGGCCCTCATAAGAGGCAAACTGAAGACCCTTCAGAACCTCCCGTGTCAGTGCTCTGAATGCCAGCCTTCTGAGGATGCACGCCTCGGGAGTGAGGGCTTTGAGCTGTAGTCAGATGCAGCCCACCCAAAGTCCAACATTTCTTAGAAATCTTGCTTTATATCATAAATACACCCGAGATTTGTACCTTCTGCTCCATAATGTTCACATGTTGTTTTCACGTTTTTTAAGTAGATGTCCCTAATAATTTTTGGTCAAATTGACCCTCAGAGAAGAGTTGTAGCTTCACACACCTTCCTGCACCTTGCCCAGGCCCTCCAACGGCACCTGGGCTCTAAGTCGACTATCAGGGCTTTGAAGGGCCATTCGTTTTATTTGATGTATGTTTTTAAACCGTGCTGAGGGAGATAAGTATGAATTTGAATGGTGACAATTATTGTTGCTTCAAAACTTGAGACTTTGGGGATTTTGTTCATGTCATCTGAAAAGTATGGTGTATACTGGAATGTCCTAGATCAGAATAGACGGTGGATTTTCTTTCACGTCACAGATGTAATGACTCTCTATGATACTTCAAGGAAAGCTTCTGTGAATAGGACTGTCTTAGCTCAGGCTGTCATAACAAAATACCATAGACTGGGTGGCCTAAATAACAGAAATTTATTTTTGCACAGTTCTGGAGGCTAGAAGTCCAAGATCAAGGTGACAGTGTGGTTGATGTCTTTCTTTTTTTTTTTTTTTTGAGACAGAGTCTCACTCTGTCACCCATGCTGGAGTGCAGTGGCGCATTCTCAGCTCCCTGTAACCTCCGCCTGCCATGTTCAAGCAATTCTGCCTCAATCACCCGAGCAGCTGGGACTACATGTGTGCAACACCACCCCAGCTAATTTTTGTATTTTTAGTAGAGACGGGGCTTCACTGTGTTGGCCAGGCTGGTCTCAAACTCCTGATCCGCCTGCCTTGGCCTGTCAAAGTGCTAGGATTACAGGCGTGAGCCACTGCACCCGGCCAAGTGTGGTCGGTTTCTGGTGAGGGTTCTTCCTGGCTTATAGATGGCTGCCTTCTAGCCATGTCCTCACGTGGTGGGGCAGGGGTCGGGGGCTGCAGGGAGAGAGCAGTGCCCAAGCTCTCTGTGATTAAAGGGCACTAATCATGAGAGTCCTGCCCTCATGACCTCATCTAACCCTAATTACCCCTCAAAGGCCCCATCTTTACATATTATCACATTGGGGGTTAGGGCTACATGAATTTGGGGGAGGGGACATGATTCAGTCCATAGCAAGGACCAGTCCTATGCTATTTTGTCCATCTGTGGAGGGTGCTTGGGATCAACACTGAGGATCTTGTCTCCCACTGGGCAGGCCAGGGATCCAGCAGGGACGTCACGACAGCTCTGTCACAGACCTGCTGTGATGGCAGGGTCTGCCAAGGTGTCCAGATGACCGCCTGCCTCTCGTTTCCCTCCCCAGGACCCTTCTTTCCACCTCAGCCTGGCCTGGTGCGTGGGTGATGCACGTCTCCAGCTGGAGGGGCAGTGCCTGCAGGAACTACAGGTGAATTTCCAGGGCGGGAACACAGAGCGCGCTGAACTCCAGAAATGACGGGACAGATGCTGGAGAGGAGGAGGATGAGGCACCCAAACCCGAATCCCTGGGAAACAAATGACATGGCAGGAGACCCCAACACCTTCCCTTGCAACTCAAGGTGTGGCCCCTGGACCGGCAGCTTCAGCGTCACCTGAAGCTTATTAGCAATACAGATCTTTACCCCCCCCCCCGAACCCCCAACCTAAGAAATCAGAATTACATTTTAACAGATCTCTAGGGATTTGTGTGCACATTACAGTTTGGGAAGCACTGCCCTAGAACCCTGATCTGCGAGGAGGCTGCAGGCTTCCCCTGAAGTCCTAGCCACTGGCCCAGGGGTCAGAGGCTTGGGCCTGGCACTGGAAATGGGTGAAATGTACCAGGTGTAAGTAACATCCAGCCCCCAGAATCTATCAAATTTTGATAAGTAGCTGAAAGATTCCACTTTCCCATGTGCGTTCTTGGAGGAGAACCAGCAGGTTACATGAAGTGGTAAGTGGTGGCTGATACTCCAGCCCCGGCTGGGGAGACAGTAGGGAGTATGGCCATGCAGGAAGGTTGGCCTAGAGTTGCCAACACTTCTGCTTCATAAGAGAAGCCAGAAACCTAGGTTTTTACATGTAATCTTGTCAGTTTTCAAATGTCAGCAACTAATTTGGATGTTTAAAAAACATTTTGCAAGCCAAACCAAACATGTGCAGGCTGGACGCAGCTGTGCTCCCTCATTAAGGAGCCGCCTTGCTGTTGGCCTGATGTTGCTGGAGGTGGCAAAGAGCTCTAGTTTGGGCTCCGGCAGACCTGGGTCCCAGGCCTGGTTTTATTGGTTTCTGTAATCCAGGGCTCTGAGCATCTGTGTCCTCATCTGTAAAGTTGGGATGATGGGACCAACCTCAGATATTACAGAAGTGATCAGACAAGATCAATAATGCAGAGCCTGGAGCCTGCAGCCTCTGAAGTTGGGTGAGCTGGTTTTGTTTGCAGTGCCCTCTGGGTCCCAGATGCCCCTTAATGTGACTGTCCTCCCCTGGCTGCTGTTTTAAGGCAATCGTGGATGGGTTTGAAGATGCTGAGGTGCTGCTGCGCGTGTACATCGAGCAAGTCCGCTGCAAGTCTGGGAACAAGTTCTTCTCGATGCCTTTGAAGTGAGCACCAGAGGCCTTCCTCCTCCAGGGCCCTCTGCAGACCAGGCTGAGATGGAGGAACCTGCTAAAATCAATGGAGATGCTTCTAGCCTCCCAGTAGGAGGTCCCAGCTATGCCTTCAGCCTGGCAGAAAGTGTAGCCACTCCTCATCCTCCGAGTGCTCGCTCTCGCTCGCTCTCTCCCGCTCTCTCTCTCTCTCCCGCTCTCTCTCTCTCACACTCGCTCTCTCTCTCTCTCTCCCCCCCCCCTCCCCCTCTTTCTCTTTCTCTTTCTCTTCCCCTCCCTCTCTCTTCCTCTCCTCTCTTAGCTGTTGCGGGTTGTAGGTTGGGTGCGACTGTGTTGTGGTCCTTCCCAGAAACTGCCAGTAGAGGGCAGCCTGGGCATCCTAATTCTTACTCTGGTTGTTAAGCAAAGAAAATACTGGGGTCAGTGGTGAGCCCACCCACACTCGCCAGAATCTCCACTGTAGTCCCCCTAACAAACAGCCCTTCACTCCCTCTCCCACTTCAGCAATTTGTATTTTGATGCCATTGGCCTCAGATCAGAGTGTTTTAAATCATCACGCCCTGGCTTATCCCTGGCCAAGCCAGGACACGGGGTGCTTCAGTGGGTCTGTCACCCTCTCTCCTTGAAGCATGTCGCTTTTATTTATTTACTTTTACTCTCACCCTGCTCCTGTGCCAGCAGGGGCTACTTCAAGGCCAAGGTCCAGGATGAGAACTTGTGACCCAGCCTCAGTTTTCTCCACTTCTTTCTCCCTCTTTCTCCCGCTCACTCTAGCAAGGTGCCTGGGGAGACTTGAACAGATGTTTCATTTTGGCCTGGCCAGTGGCTGAAAGCCAGGCCTCCAATGCACTGTGACCTCTGGCTTCCCCAGCAGCTTTCCCAGAGAGGCAGAGGGGCCTTCCACAGCCTGGGTTCTGCTGCTGCCTCCTGCCTGCTGCAGCTGCAGCATTCTGAGGGGCAACGTGGAGGAAGGGCCAGGGATGCATGGGATTTTAACTTTTTCATCAAACCTTCCGCGTGGCAAGGAGTCAGTCAGTCCTCTTCAGGTGTCTTCTGGATTTCTGGTGATGGATAGAGAAATCTTTTTATGTTACAGTTTTAAATTATGTTCAACAAATAAAAAATTGCATTTCTTATTTTGGATCTTTTTTGGACTACTTGTATTTAACCCAGTGAAAAGATGACTTTCACCTTCCCCTACCCTGTCCAGCTGTGTCTCTCAGTTTGGGGGGACTCTTGGAAGTCTCTGCTGTGACTTCCAAGGTGGCCTTGAGAGGCATTAATGATGCTTCGGTAAAATAAGGGTAAGGAGGAGTCACCCGGCCTGCAAGGTCTACACACAGAGTTCTCACATAGCACATCTAGCCTGGAGCTAGGCATGTGGCAGGGGTCACCACCCTCATCCCTCACCCACATAGGCAGACATTGACACCTTATACTGCTGTGACACTGAGCGCTTCCCGATACCTTCTCATGTCTTCCAGTATCCCCCCGAAAGGTAAACAGGGTGGGGATGGCTAGTCCGCTGTTAAAAGAACAGGTTAAGTGACTTGCTTGTATGAGAAATCACAAGGAAGGGCCGTACTCAGCCCTAACCTCAGGTCCTGTGCTGGGGCAGCCTTGATCCAGCCCAGCACACCACCTCATGGTCAGGCCTGGCATCTGAGTGGGGACACAAGGCTTGAGGGAAAGGTGTGGGGCGAGGGGCCTGTTGCCCAGGCTCCCATGGTGGCCCCCACTGCCCCGCCTTTCCTGAAAGGGGCAGCCTCCCAGCCGCTGCACTGAAAGACCCAGGCACTTTCTGGGCCTTGTTCCTGCTCCCCACTGCATTGATCTGACTCCAACTCATCATTGGGTTGGTTCTTCTGGAGAGGAGGAAGATGCAGGGCATCCTTTCTGGCTTGCAGGCAACACGGCAACTCTGGCTGTGCAGCCTGTATTTAACTGACACCTGCCCTGTGCCAGGCCCTGAACTGGGCACTTGGTGAACCAGACTAGGTCTGCCCTCTGGGTGCTCACAGCAGGGCTGAACAGGCAGGGAGCACAGAGAAGAATCTGCATCCTCAACATGGCACTTCCCCAAACTTCGGTACTGGCTCTTATTGGGAGGGGGGCAGGTGTGAGGTAAGACCTCCATCAACAAGCCCAGGAAGAGGGATGGGGCCATTCCCCCCAGGGGAGGATGTGGCTGGGGAGTCCGTCTGTGCTGAGGATGGAATTTGAGTGCAGCAACTTTGAGAAATGGGCCAAGATCAATAACCGGCTCCTCAATGGAGAATGGAAGGTGGCAATGGAGGAAGGAAGCAGGAGCCTCGCTGAGGGGGAGGGGTGGGCAGGCTGGGCCTGAGGAGGAGGCTGGCGGCAGGAGCTTGGCGGGCACCCAGACACTGAGTGTGCCTCTGGAGCAGAGTGAGCCCGCTGAGCAAGCGCTCCCGCTGACAGTGCAGAAGCAGCCGGGGCTCTTCCATAAGAGGAGATTCTCCATAAGAGGAGAAACCTCGGAGACAACTCTGGAGACACAGGGAAGACCAGAGCAGGCTGCAGTCCCCGCCAGGCAGGCTGGCCCAAAGAAATGCTCTTGATGAGGATTTTATCACACCAGGGAGAGTACAAAATCAACACATCTGGCCTCGGTGTCCTCAGATGTTCCCCACAGGGCAGGGAAATCATCTCACGCCTGTTTGGCTGATTTCCACCTGGCACTCTCCAGCGCCTCTCCAGACCACCCCAGCTTTGTTTCCAAGGGAGAGGGAAATTACCTTGGCTTGTTTGTTTATTCCTTGTCTTGGCACCAAGAGTCCCAAGGCCTGCTTCACCTTTGATGGTGTGTTGGGTGGGTGCATCGCCTGAGGGGCCCCTGGAGGGGAGAGCTGGAGGAGGGGGTGTCCTGGGCCCAGTTCCAGCCCACAGCTACTTTCCTTCACCGAACAGGAGACCTCCCCTACGACCTCAGAACTCTCCTTTCGCAAACGAGGAAACAAACCCAAAGAGGGGAATAACTTGCTCCGATTGCCCAGTAAATTACAGCTGAGGCAAAAACCCAGGGACCTGGCTTCTGATCCAGAGCTTTTTACAAGCCCTCACACCACATCGGGACCTCTAAATGAAACTGCTGTGAAACACCATGTCTGGGCTTTCATTCAAAAGACTAAGAAAAAAAGGTGTGTGATGGTGGGCGGGGGTGTCAGGGCATAGATGAAACGATATTGGCAAAATATGGATAAGGTTTAAAGTTCTTGATGGAGGGGCTGGAGTTCACACATCTCAGTCCCACTGACTAGTCCTTTTGGGCTTTGGGTGCTGGCCAGACCCAGTAGAAACCCAGCTATCTTGGGTTGGATGTACATGCAAATCCACCTTGGATTCCCAAAGTACCTATAGGAGCCAGACCCAATAATTGGGAGCTTCAAGATATGGTCACAGGGGATGTCATTTCCTTAAGGCAGGATTGGACCCCAAGAGAGGAACCTCCAACAGAGAGAAAATCACCAGACTTGACTGACCCAGGCCTTTAAGAATGTTGCTCCATTCATTCCTAGGCTCCTCTCACTAATAGCCCCTTAAGCCCCAACTTTTTTTTTTTTTTTTTTTTTTTTTAAGACAGGGTCTCGCTCTGAGTCAGCTGGGTTGAAGGGCAGCAGCATGATCATAGCTCACTGCAGCCTCAACCTCCTGGGCTCAAGTGATCCTCCCACCTCAGCCTCCCAAGTAGCTGGGCCTACAGATGTACACACGCCTGGCTAATTTTTGTATTCTTTGTAGAGATGGGGTCTTGCCATGTTGCCCAGGTTGGTCTTGAACTCCTGGGCTAAAGCAATTCTGCCGCTTCGGCCTCCCAAAGTGCTGGGATTACAAGCTTGAGCCACTTTTCCTAGCCCCAAACTTTTTTAAATTGGCTAATCGGGACTAAATATCATGAAAGAGTGCAACGTGGTCAGTTAAACAAGGACAGCCCTGTTGTCTGTGTCTGAAGACCACTGCACATTTCCCAAAAGCAAATTTCAAAGTGGAGAATTTAGAAACCCACTTCCCAGATGAGGGATCCTACAGAGAAGTGAGTCCGTGGAAATGATGAAATTGCCGGTTCCTTTCTCTAAATTCCGACTTCCTTTCCCCAAGGACATCCCAGGAGGGTTCAAATGCGCGCTCTCTAAGGCGCCCTGCCAGGTCTCCTGATTTCCAGTTTCCGGGAGGTGAGGCCGGCTGGGGTGCCCCGCGGGCCTGCTCTAGAGAAAACCGCCCTCAGGTGAGGACAGCTTCCATTTCCGGGTCTGAAGATAAGGAATACGGTCTCCGCCCTCCTGCCTGCCGCCCTCACCCACTGACCACGCCGGTCAGTCTCCAGGGTTGCCCTTGGCCTGGCCCCCGGGTCTCGGTGGACCTTCGACCCGGGCCTCCCAGCTCTGGCCTCCTGCATCCACCCCGCCCCGACCTCAAGCTGCTTCCGGAATAGAATGAACGCCAGCTCATTAAGTTTCGCGGGGAGGTGTGTCCACCCGCCCCGCGCCGCGTCGGGCCGCACTGTCGCACTTCACTCGCACTAGCCAGTGGCCAAAGTGCTTGGGCACCTATTGCGCCAGGCCAAGAACCGGAAGCCTTACCTCGCACTCACTCCAACTCTGCCCCACATTCCCGATAAGAACATGGAGACTCGGAGAGATTAATTTGCCCACGTGCAAGCTGCAGCTAATGGGCGGACTCGGAACTTGAACCGTGTCCCTCCTAAACCTGCCCCTTGTCCGCCGCAACGCGCCCTCGACGCGCACAAAACCCTCACTTTGATAATGAGGAAAGTTACTCAATGGCCAGAGACACCCTGTGGCTTTTGAAAAGAGATTTCAGGCTGACAAATTTCCATATATATATATAAAACGACTCTTTCGTCCCTCCCCTAAGACCTCCTTCCCGTCCCCCTCAGCCTCAGTATCACCCCCACCCACCAGGTAGGATCCCTAAGGAGGAGTCTTCATTCCTCCCAGGCAGGGAGACCACGCCTTCCCTGCTTCCTCCCTCCACGGGGGATCGCGTTGGAGGTCACCCCTGTCCCCCAGACGCTGGGTTGAGAGTGACGCGGGGTGGGCTGGAGACGTTTCCCGCCCTCTGGGAAGAGTAAATGGGCCGCCCACCTGCCGGGCCTCGGCCGCCCGCACCTGCTCGTGAGAAGCCGCTGGCTGGGGCACCGCCCCCGGTCCCCGCCCGGGTCCGCGCACTGGGAGCACGCTGGCCCTTTAAGAGCGCGGCGGCCGCGGCGCGCGGGGAGGAGGGCTGGGAGCGCCCGGAGCCGCGCTGAACTCGCCGGGGACGTCGGGCGCCCGCTCCTTGGCTGGCTGGCTGGCTGGTTCGCTCGCTCGCTCTCTCGGGTGGGCTCCCTGCGCCTCCTCCCGGGACTGCGTGGGGACCCGGGCCCGGTCGGGCGCGGCGGCGAGCAGAATCCCCGGGCAGGAGGCACGCGCTCCGGGCAGCGCCCGGCCCCGGGCATGGACAGAGGGAGCTGGGCGCGCAGGGGGCGCCGCGGGACCGGGCGGCCGGAGCGCTGAGCCAGACAAAGGCTCTGGAGTTGCGCTCGCTCTCGGGAGCCGGGCCCCAGGCTCTGGGCGCCAAGGCTGCGGGACCCCGCGGGGGGTAGCTCCGGCCGGCCCCCTTTCCCGCCCGCTGATTCCGAGCTCCCGGACCTGCCCTGCCCGCTTCTCCTCGGGCTTGGGAATTTGCCGAGGCGACCTAGGCGGCTCCAGCGGGGACCGGGAGCCCGAGGTGCGCGGCGCGCCCGCCGGGCCAGGAGCCAGGGAGCGTCGCAAGTTTCCAAGGCGCGTGCGAGGACCCGGCGTGCAGTGTTCCGGGCCGGGCTGGGCGCCGAGAGCATGGGCAGCAACCGGAGCGCGCCCGGACGGCCGGGCTGGACTGGCAGCCTCCTTGGCGACTGGGAGGAGGCGGCGCGGCCGCGACTGCTGCCGCTGCTCCTGGTGCTTCTGGGCTGCCTGGGCCTTGGCGTAGCGGCCGAAGACGCAGAGGTCCATGCCGAGGTAAGACCCCCGCCCTGCCCTTTGGCTGCGGGCTGGGGGCTTAGAGAGGGAGGCGCCACGCCCGCAGCATGAGACGTGGAGGTGGAGGGAGCGGAGACGCGCCCCCTGTTCTGGGCCGTGGCGGGGAAGAAAGGGGACTTGGCAGGCTGCCCCTCCCCAGCTCGCCCTCTGCAGCGCACCTCTTCCCAAACCCTGGAGGGCGCAGGGCTCGCGCCTCCCCGCTACTCCGAGTACAGCCCTGTTCTGGGCACTGAGCCCCCACCCCGGTCCCCCCACATTCAGCCTGTGTCCCGGGAGCCGCTTCCGCCGCCCCCAGCCCTTGCCTCCCCTCCTTCCTTCCCTCCAGGGCAGCCGATTCCTCGAGAGCCCGGCTGGCGCGCAGTGGCGCTCTTTGCGAGTGGGGAGGGGGCTGCTCTCGGGGACAGCCACAGGCGGAGCAGGAGCTGGGCAGCTGGGCAACAGCGCTCCTGCCCAGGTAGCCTCTCGTCTGGGTGATAGCGAGGCGCACACGGCGGGCCGGGATGCGGGGGGGATGGGTGCAAACAGCTGAGGCAGCGGACTCGGGTTGCGGGGGCGCTTTGGCTACTTTCTTGCGCTCTTGCGAGGAAGCCTGGCCACGCCCGGGCGGGGTCCTAAAGACGGACCCTGCCTCCCACAGCGCTTCCTTCCAACAGCCCCCCTACGTCGAAGCCCCGGGTGGGAGAGGGTGGACCCCGCGCCTCTTTTCGCTAGGAGCCCTCTTGGCGTCCCTCCTGGGGCCCCGATGTGGATGGCTCCCGCGGGTGACCAGGCGCGGCATCCCGGCGTAGAGCCGGGTCCAGCCAGCGCCCCAGCTCCATGGTGTCTCCCGAGCGAGGACACTGAAGGCGCCAGCTCTGTTGCCCCAGAGCAAGAGCAGGGTCCTCTCTTCCCCGACTTCTAAGACCTGCTCCCTGCCCCAGATAGGCGGGGAGAGGATTGGGCCGGGAGTAGGGAGAACGAACCACCCGGAGCCGCTTCTGCACGGTGCTCAGGCCTTGGTGCCCTTGGGCTGCCCGGGCTGCGGGCCGGAGCGCCGTTTCTATTTGCAGCTGGGCTGGTGCTCCCTCCCTGGCCCACGGCGGCTTTCCCATCTCCCCGGGCTCCCTGGGAGATTTTTCCGATGGAAGCTTGCCCTTCCCCTCCCTACTTTAATAAAAGCATAGAGGAAGGGCAGGGAATTCCTCCTGGGCTCGAGTTACACCTCCCAGCCAGTTCCCCACCTGCTCTGTCCTCCCTCCCTGGCCAGGCCAGGGAGAGCTGCAAGGAGCCAGGCCCTGGCAGGAGGCAGGATAGGAGCCCCGCCCCAACCCAGTCTGGCCACCCTCCCCCACCCCATTCACACAGGCAGGCAGGAGTTTTAGGGGGTTCCTGTTGGTGAGGATTACCCCTCAGCCAGTGACCCAAGTACTGGGCGGAGAGTGCCGTTTGGGCCCACCTGCCACTCTGGGCTGGAGTGCCAAAGAATTTCAAGTCATAATCCCACCCTTGAGTTTCTAATTTACTTAGGGATGGTGTCTGTACATAGGAAGCAGTGATGGAATTTGATGGCTGTGCATTGCTAATGGCACCCTAGCTGGCCAGGAGCTGCTCTGGGGTGCAGGGACCTGTAGTCGGAGGGGGCTTCACTCTCTCTCTCTTCTGCTTTTCCGGTTCCATCTCACCCCTACCCCAGCCCCCCAGTTCAGGGAGTGCCCACAGCTCAGTGCTGCCAGGGAAGAAGCTGTGGTTGCATTATCACAGACCGTGCTCCTGATCTGGAGATTGTGACTGTCCTGGAGCCCTACTCCTGGGGAGACACTTTGGTTGGACCTGGGCAGTGGCTGGAAGAGACCCCGGAAGGTTTAGGAAGCCCTGAATGTTGGCAGCCATGCAGATAGAGGGCTAGAGACAGGTGGAGTATCCCAGCTCCTACAGTTGGCTTTGGGTACAGGCTGCTTCTGGAGTCCCATCAGGTCTGGCCACATGTGGGCCCAAAGAGTCAAATGGCCTCAGCAGCCAGCCCATCTGCCAGGAGGCTGTGGCCTCAGACTCCTGGGCCTGGCCTACACCCTGTGTCGAGCCTCCCTTCCTCAGAGAAGGGCTGGCTCTCTCATTCTCACCCCAGCATCCGCACAGCTTCAGGCCTCCAGCTGGGTCACGGCTGGGACCTTCTCGGAGCAGCTTGGCAGTTGAGCCAAGGCCAGCCCCTCTCCACTTCCTTTCTCCCCTCCCAGGGTGGAAGCCACGGGAGTTTCGCAAGGCTGAGACATCAAGGAACCTGGCATGTGCTAGGAACTGAGAAACACCTGCAACCTGCCAGGCCCTAGCCCACCACTGAGCTGCCCTGCCCTATCCCACATTCTCCCTTAGATGTCCGGTCCCAGTCTGTAGTCATTCCGGGCCAGATCCCCACCTGGCTGAGGTGCCCACTGTTGTTCCTGCCCTGCAGGGCTGAGAGTCTCCAGGTTCACCAGGGGAGCTCTTATCTCACCCGTCTCCCCCTACCTCCTCCTCCCAGGCACAATTCAGGCCCTCGGCCTGCTCTGTGGAGGTGACTCAGGCTGCCAGAGTTCACAGGTGTGGTGCCACCACCACCAAAACAGATCCACCCACGCTTCCTGAACAGGCCCACGAGTATCTTCCTAGCCCCTACCCAGCCACAGAGCAGATGAGGCAGCGGGGGGGTGGGGGATTGGGGGGGTCGGCGTGAATTCTCATTTCGACCTTCAGGTGAGCCACAGTCTCGGGCTTCCTGCGTTTCAGTCTCTACTAGTACTTCCATGCTGGCTCCGGCGGGCCCCACTGGTCTCCTCTTTCTTTTAACAGAGCAAAACTACAGATGCTGTCTTTGTCCACCAGCTAAGAAAAGGGGGTTAATAGCGGGGCCTTGTCATTGGGAATCTACAGAAGCTGAATCTTCTCCCCCTTCCCTCTTGTCTCTGCTTTTTACTCTGTTTTCTTGCTAGTAGCAAATCACTCCTCTCCATGCTCTGTGTCAAGACCCAGCGAGAACTGGTCTGATTGGCACAGCCAAGGACCTAGATCTCATTGGGCCATGCCCTTCACACCCAGCCCTTGCCATGTTTCCGAGTTGGGACTGCCCTTCGGTCCAGCCAGTCATCTGTCTCCTTGCAGAGAACAGCCCAGTGTAAGCTCCTTGTCTGAGCAGTGTATTGGCCTGACCTTCCCAATCGTAACCTCTGAACACAGATAACCTCCTTTGCCCAACCCCACGGGATATCGATACTTAAAAGATATCCATGAATGTGGAGAGGAGTAACATGGAAATAACACGCTATCCCCACCCCCAAAAGAAGACTTTCCCCAAAAGCCCAGTGCCCACTGCTGTCTCTTATGCCCACTCAGGATGGCCACACTGCAGGCATGGAAAAGCCCCTCCCTGCCAAGCGGTTTGTTCTGGCTGTCCCTCTGTGGCCCTTTTGTTGTTTGGTCCAGATGTTCCCTGCCATCATCACCTCTGCCCGCTGGGAGTTTGACCTCTGCCTCAGGCTAGCTGTGGGGGTCGCTGTGAGCACCACTACTTTCCAGATCAGATCAGAATGGATATCCTCCATATCATCCCAAGGCTTAGGTGATTCCCTCGCTTGGACACTCCAGCAGGAGCAGTGCTTTGGTCCTGGAGATGTGTTTTCTGAGTCAGTAAAGACAGGGAGGGGTTGCGGACCCTGCTCGTATCTTTCTCCTTTACAAAGAGGGTCCTGGGAGAAGCCCACCATTGAGTGTGAGGACTGGGACCCTGAAGGCGGCTGAACACTCCAGACCTGAGACACAGTAGGCACCATCTGGCTGGACAGCCCTGAGTGACGGCTCAGATAGGGCTGCTTCACAGTGGGACACAGGTTCCAGGGATTCCTGAGACCAGAGGCCATGGAGCTGGACCTGGATCCCAGAGGCAAAGAGGGATGCCTCTTCCCTAATCCCATGGCCCTCATGGCAATAGAAGAAAAAGTGTAAGAGACCCAACTCAGCCTCCAGTGACAGGACAGGTGGATGAGCCCCTGGTTCCAGCCATTAGCCAGCCCTTGGAGATGCCCCCCATCCTGCTGCCATTGGCTGGTGGTGATGCAGGCCGAGGTCTAGATCGCCTCTCCAGGGCACTGGCACTGGCACTGCCTTGTCCTTCCCCTAGGAGTGACTGTCACCCTGTAGGGGTGAGAGTCTTAACTCCACGTTCAGCATTTATGAGCATGGCACCTGATACATAGTGCAAAACAGTACACAACACGGTGGCCTACACCTTGTGTCCAGAGCCTCCCTGGCAAAATAGTGCAAAACACAGTGACAGAAGTGAATGGCATTTACTGTTGGGCAAGTCACTGAACCTGTATGAACTTTAGGATTCCTATAAAAAGGGAATAGCAATAGTATATCTGTTTGATGGAGTTACTGGGGAGATTCATTGCATTTATGTGCAAAACACTAAACGCTATGCACAGCGCCCGGCACAGCAGGTGTTATTTTTGAGCACGTTCAACATATTTGTGTCTGTCCTGGACACAAACTAGGGATGTTTTGTAAGCATTTTCACGTTTAATCCTTGTATTAACTCTTCAAGTGTATATGCTGTCATTACTCTATTGTACAAAAGAGAAAACTAATACTGTGAGTCGAGAAAAATGACCCCCACATTCCATAGCCAGGGAGTGGCAGAACTTGGATTTGAACCCAGCTCAGTCTGGCCTGGAACCCAAGCTCCGAACCCCCATGCAGGGTTAAAGGCTACAGGTCAGAGCCTAGGGTGCCATCCTGTGGAAGTTCCACCATGCAGAATTCTGCTGGGCCCGATCCAGGTGGGAAGGAGGTGTCTGAGGTGGAGCCAGAGCTGCCTGAGCTGTGTGAGCCAAACACAGCATTGCCCCCAGGCCCACCCAGCCTTGCCCCCATCTGTCCAGCCAACCAAGCTCTACCCTGTGGACAGCCCCATCTAGGAGTCAGCACCTGCAGGGAGGTTTCCAGGTGAGGACCCAAGGCCGGGCCCC